AGGTTCAGTGGCGGGGATAGGTAGGATTAGGGGTGGGGTTAGGGATCAGGGGGCGGAGATGAGTAGGATTAGGGATCAGGGCATAGATGGGTAGGATTAGGGGTGGAGTTAAGGTTCAGGGGCGAAGATGGGTAGGATTAGGGGTGGGGCTAGGGATCAGGAGCGGAGATGGGTAGGATTAGGGGTGGGGTTAGGGATCAGGGGGCAGAGATGGGTAGGATTAGGGGTGGGGTTAGGGATCAGGGGGCAGAGATGGGTAGGATTAGGGGTGGGGTTTAGGTTCAGTGGCGGGGATAGGTAGGATTAGGGGTGGGGTTATGGATCAGGGGGCGGAGATGAGTAGGATTAGGGATCAGGGGCATAGATGGGTAGGATTAGGGGTGGAGTTAAGGTTCAGGGGCATAGATGGGTAGGATTAGGGGTGGAGTTAAGGTTCAGGGGCGAAGATGGGTAGGATTAGGGGTGGGGTTAGGGATCAGGGGGCAGAGATGGGTAGGATTAGGGGTGGGGTTAGGGATCAGGGGTGGAGATGGGTAGGATTAGGGGTGGGGTTAGGGATCTGGGGGCAGAGATGGGTAGGATTAGGGGTGGGGTTAGGGATCAGGGGTGGAGATGGGTAGGATTAGGGGTGGGGTTAGGGATCTGGGGGCAGAGATGGGTAGGATTAGGGGTGGAGTTAAGGTTCAAGTGCGAAGATGGGTAGGATTAGGGGTGGAGTTTAAGGTTCAAGGGCAAAGATGGGTAGGATTAGGGGTGGAGTTAAGGTTCAAGGGCAAAGATGGGTAGGATTAGGGGTGGAGTTAAGGTTCAAGGGCAAAGATGGGTAGGATTAGGGGTGGAGTTTAAGGTTCAAGGGCAAAGATGGGTAGGATTAGGGGTGGAGTTAAGGTTCAAGGGCGAAGATGGGCAGGATTAGGGGTGGGGTTAAGGTTCAGTGGCGGGGATAGGTAGGATTAGGGGTGGGGTTAGGGTTCAGGGGGCGGAGATGGGTAGGTTTAGGTATATGTAAGGTGGACATGGATTTGCTAATGCTAATGGATTCACAGTCCTGTGAGCATGTAAGATATGCTGCTGCTGCAGTCATACATAAATCCCATAGCAGATTGAGACAGGTGGAGCTGGGTTTCAGAAGAACTCTGTGAAACTAGCGTAAAAGAAAAAAATAACCCAGACTATTTAAATGTTAACAAGCAATCTCATAGACTGTAGGATCAGCAGTGGTCATTGTGCAAGTGATTATATGGGATTTATGAGATTATATATACGTATATTTATATTGAGCAGCTTTTTGGTAGTTTCTCAATGTGAATCTTAGTTACAGGTTTGGGTGACCAGGTCTTAAGCACAAACATTTTGTTTTACTAGGGTAACTAAGGAGTAAAATCCATGTGCACACTTAACTGAGAGGGAAAACAGGGATTGCACAGAATTGTGTTATGCATGTAAACGGTCATTTGTCATCTTGTCTTGATCAAGACTGCTGATTAAAGATGCATTTGACATTACAGAAAAGTATTTAAAAATACTTCAGGTTTTGGGAGCCAAATAACTTTGCTTCAGAAAACATCAAGTGTGAAGACCCAGAGGACAGAGGGCAGTGCGACTAGCCAACTTACAACTCAGTCTAATTAAGGAACGGCTCGTCACACTTTCTGAGACTGATGCGGTCTCAGCAGTTTCCACGGAGCAGCAATGACACTATGCAGGACGTGTCTGTGTGCTCGCAAGGTGCTCTACTGGCAACACATACAGTGTGTTTGACCATTAAACTGATGCTGGACATGTACTTGGATGAGAAGTGTGTACTTGAAACACCCCTGAAAAGCTCTGGGTTATTGGAAACTCCTTGGCAGCACAAGCGGGCCGTAAATTAGGAGCAAATACCTTTCAGCAGCAGGGAGTTGTGGGTAGCGCAACCCTTGCCAAGTCGAACTTCTTTCCACAGTGTGTAGTCCTCTGAACTGAGAGGTTTACTATTGTACAGAAAGCCCACATATGCGAACTTGGATCAATTTACTTTCATATCGTGACGTATTTTGGAGTGAAACAAGATATTCAAGGAGAAAACCGTAGTGACCCACCCCACCCCCACACCAACAGGGGGAAAAAAAAGGACAAAAGAAGTCCAGGTTTAAAGACAACATATTTCACATTTAATTTTGGACATCACCATAGCTATATGTAACTTTTAAGGACACGTTTCAGCAACAGAACATTTATTCATTTTGCTTGTTCAAAGTAGTTTTTTTTTTTTTCTTTTTCTTTTAACGTCAGTACATGGTTTGGTCCTGTAACATTTTCTGGTGGTTCTTTTCCTCTGAATGAACGGGGATCAAAAATGTCAAACGCACAACACATGCACATGTCGTTTAGCCGTTTACACAAAGGTAGGACAAAGTCAGAGACTGACATAATGCATATAGCACTGTTTTCTATTCACCCTCCCTTGCTCTGTTCTTGACACTCATATCTAATAAGGCTATATTACAGCTATGAACAAGAAGTCCAACACTGCATTTCTAAGTGTAGAGCACCATATTTACACCAATATTTACAGACGTTACATTTTAAAACAAAAAGACAAAACAAACAGAAATACTTAAGATAAATTTGGGTCAAATGAGCAATTTGAAGGATGTACAGGTTTGAAATAGAAAAACAAAACAAAAAAATATATATTTACATATAGCTGCAACTTATAGCTTAGCTTATTGCAAATGCCCTTTAAATCTCTCAGCCTATTCTTTCACACTCAGTCCTGTAGAGCTTTGACTTATTTCCATACCATATGATGGTCAGCCAATGACCAACTCTTGAGCCATATTTCCTGAAAGAGTGGCCATCCACTGAATAGATGACATACCATTTAATTATTTATCTGTGATCGGGTGGCAAAAAAAGCCCCATTTTATCCCAATATAAGCCGGTTTAAGGCTCGCATCCAAAACAGCAGTCCTTTCAAAAAATAAACTTTCAAAAAAACATATGTACATACTTATAAACAGCCCGTAAGGCCAGTCAATTCTGAGACTGGTGTATACAGTAACTCAAAGCTGAATGGTACAAGAACAACAGGGTTGAAATAGATCGGAATCTGCAACCGAAAGTGATTTCTTAAAGGCAAACTCCACTTTTTTTTGGAAATATGCTCATTTTACAACTCTCCCAGAGTTAAACAGTTGAGTTTTACCGTTTTCGAATCAGTTATCAGTAACCAGACAGTTTCTGGTCTCATTGACTTCCATAGTAGGAAAAAAAATATACTATGGAAGTCAATGAGAGCAAAAACTGCCTGTTTACTAATATTCTTGTAAATATCAGAAAATCGTCTGAATACATTCGAAAACGGTAAAACACAACTGTTTACCGTTGGGGGAGTGGTAAAATGAGCCTATTTCGGAAAAAAAAGTGGAGTATCCCTTTAAGCCAAAGAAGAGTCTTTAACGTTAAAATTATTTCTCCATTCAAATTTTGTCTTGGAATAATGACATTTGAAAAGAGGGGTACTGGCTCAATGGTTCTCATTAAAATATTCAGTACAACACAAGCTGAATACCGTCGCTGTCTGCTGGTTTGATTTCGCTCGGGCAGAAACGGCATTGTAAAGGCTAATTATCCCTACTGTGATTCAAAGTATCCTAATTGTAGACTCTACTTCAGTGCAATTTATTTTTATAATTTGATAAGAATAGGATGAACACATTAATGTGTGGGTGTATCCACAGTGCTGTCTGGGATGCGAATTTGGCAAACATTATTACTTAAGAGGGAATTTCGGAGAACAACATTAACCAGCTTGAACGGATAAATTGCACTTAAATCCTAAATGATCCCTCAAATATATATATATATATAAAACAAAAAACGTATGTGGTGTGACTTAAATCAAAAACATGGTGAACGTGTCGATGTAATTCAAATAAAGTCATGTGGATTATCCGTAGCCCCCTTTTAGGAATTTGCCCTTGTTATTGCAACTGATTGTCACTAACCTCAAACATTTTGTTATACTGAACATTTCTAAAAGGTAACGAGGAAAACACTTCAAAAGCACTAAACAAAACAAAATGGTAATTAAGTTTAAAACTCATCAGACAGCACTATGAATTAAAACGGGGTTTGTTAATGTTATTTACTCTCACTATTGCTTTAACTGTATTACCATCTCGTTACAATCCTATTGGGGCTTAAATTCACAAAACCAATTGTGATATTTATAGGTTGAACTTCTTTAAGTGCTTTTGCATTATGAATTGCCATGTTCTGCTCTATCACATACTGTTGGTCTTAATTTAAATACCTCACTTTATTAAAAGGTCATTTTATTTATACATACAGTTTCCACAACTCTTGATTGATTG